CGGGCGGCAGCTGCATTTCCAGGCGGCGCGCCCCGCCCCGGTCCTGGTCCCCATGCCCAATCCTGGACTCTGCCTCTCCCCCATTTCCTCCCCCCGACCCCCCAACACCGACCTTCTGTGGCCTCCACCCCCTCGCGCACACCTACACTGGCCAAGCAAACTCACCGCGCCCGCCGGGAATAGCTTTCCGTACAGGTAAAACCGAAAACCGAATTTTCCAAAATCGCACCCCGACGGCGCCTGCTCTTAGTACCGTGGGGATGGGAAGGAAATTCTTTGTACATATTTGTATAAAAATTATTGACTTTCCTTTTGGGGTTTTTATTTTTTTAAGAAAAATCAAATTCAGTAGATTTAGAGCTCTGAACTTTCATTTTTTTTGAAGGTTCACTCTCCACAGTTTTATCTGAGAAAAGAATGTATAGAGACGTTGGGAGATTTTAAATATAAAAAAAATTTTCAAAAAGGCGAAGTGTCATTCTATTATAAAAGTCTGTTTATATATGAATGGATATATATGGTATTCTAAATGTTATTCCGTCGTGTTGTACACAACTTTGTAAATAAATTTTTAAAATGCTCAGCCTAGTGTTTTATTTAGGTGTCTAAAGTAAATGGCAAGATTTTTTAAAAGTGATTTGCATTTTATTTTCCTCAGAAAAACGGAGGAGTTTCAAGGAATGACTTTTTCAAACTTTGTTAATTCCTAATGTGAGCGTAAGCAAATTTTAATTGGAGAAAGGAAAGAGTATTGTATTAATATTTTTTAGCTTCCACATAAAATCAAAATGTGGGCAATTATCTCATCATATCAACCCATTAAATCTAAATGACCAGCTGTTTCTGTAGATAAGTAATCTGTCATTTAGAAAACCAAAACAATTCTAAACAGTACAGTTAAAAATTTCTTTTTGAAGACGAGACTAATATCCTCCACAATCAAAACTTCCCAAAAGAGTTCTTGGTCATGCTAATTCTTTCCAAAGTAAGTGCATTCCAGACATTCCTCTTTTTAGCATTTTAAATCTTTAGATTTTTGAAATGATTTCTTTTCATACCTTAAGTGGAAGTGATCTGATAAACCCAGTTGCTTTTTTAAATTAGAGGAATTTTATATTTATCCATTGGATTGTATTTTGTATGATCTAGGTTAACCTGATAAGTAATATGTTGTTTTAGTTTCATAATATTTTCAAATAAGATACCTCTTTTTTATGACAATAAACAATTCACAACCTCATTGGATTTCTGAAGGATTCCTTTAGATGCACCTTCCCTCCAACCTGAAGCCTGTGAAGGCCAAGGAATGGTGGCCCTACTACCCTTTTAAAAACAGGTGCACACCATTTTTTTTCTTTACCTTAGACTAGGTTTGTGTGCAGTGCAAGATCATAGAGCAAGAATAGGGAATGGCCTTGATTATTTTTAATGTACATTTATTTCAGCTGTTCAGATCTTTCACTGTTTTTCTTTCTTTCTTTCTTTCTTTCTTTCTTTCTTTCTTTCTTTCTTTCTTTCTTTCTTTCTTTCTTTTTTAAGCATTAAGGTACAAATGAAACCTCTTGATGCGGGAGGCCATCTCCCACCACCACTGGCATATCTTCCAACGGCATCAATTCTAATTATTTTGTAATTAATTTAGCTGTTACAATTACTTATGAGAAGTCGCTTTTTAAAACGGGAGCTGGTAACAGGACTATCAGCTCGGCCCTGTGCGCGTCCTGTTTGTAAAACATCGCCAGGTCTAGGCGCTGTCGTCCGCCCCGCCTCGGTGGTGGTTGGAGCTGCCTCCCCACCACGGATCCGAGCCTTGGTTCTCCCCTGCCGGCGTGGGCTTGGGGGTATCTCTAAAAGACATTTTTTCGCAAATACGGCATCTTTTCCTGCTAAACGGTAAACATTATGACCTGAGTAAACATTTCTTCCGGATCAGGGTCCTAAAATAAAACAAACTGAGGGGAGTGAGATATTTAACTTGATAAACAAGAACCTGATTATCAACTATCGCCGAGAGGAGAAACGTAACCTTCACCGGGAAGAGATTATGGACCACACGGTCTCCCGGGCGGGTCCCTTCTAATCTCTTTTTACAAGGAAAACTAAACGGATCTAAATTTGTTTGTGTGTTGCAGCTATAAAAGTAGCAAGTTGTTTCACAGTTGTGTCTGGCTAATCGGTTTTTACACAAACAGCAAATGGTACATGATTTGTGCAAACACATAGAGGTTATTTCTAAATTTAGCTGACACCCCTGGGAAAAGGGAAAGGCAGGCCTTCTTGAATTCACTTTTAGCCTCAAGAAGCTGCTGATCCAAGGCTTCTAAATGACATTGGATAACAGGGGCCTCATTCCATCCCTGATCCTTTGTTACTTATAAAATTACTCGCTCATATTTCCGCGCATAGCAGCAATACCGGCCGAGCCTGCGCCCGCAGGGTGACACTCAGCCACAAGCCGCCGCTTGAGAGCTGCAAGGCTTTTTCCAGCGATGCATTAGGCGGCCGTGCCGGGCAGGAGAGATCTCCGGCAACTTTCCTTTCAGCCACTTCTCACTCGTGAACTATACAGCCTGCAGATGATACCCTTCCTCCAGCATGAGACCC